TTTAAAAATAATATATACAAAAATATAGGATTTAAATATTGTTATTGACAATTTTTTTTAATGTAGACATAGAAATTTACAGATAAAAAAAATCAAAAAATTATAAAATATCAAAAAGTGTGAATGACATTTTTTAAAAATATTTTAAAAATTAAAACTTATTAAGGATAACTTTTAAAATAATAATAAAATATTTTAAGAGTTCTAAAAGTTGTCATTGATGATTTTTAAAATTTTTCTAATTCTTCTAATTAAAAAAAAACTCATATTTTTGTAATTTTAAAATTAAAAAAATCATAAAAAAGCCTATAGGTGCATGTCACAAACTGCAACCGATGGATGATTAATATTTATGAAAAAAAAAATCATTGTAGGATAAAAGACTTTTTTAAGAAGAAACGTTTAATTTCTGTTAATAATATTATTTATCCAACAGTTATAAACTTAAAAAAATAAAAAAAAAGTATATATATATATATATATATATATATATATATATATATATATCAGCAGGTAAAAATATCTTCGAGGATGAAAAGCAAGTAGCAGACTAATATTTACTAACATACATGGATATGTCTCCTCATTAAATTTCAAAAGAATAATTTTAAATTTTCTAAAAACATTTTTTATAAATTTTCTAATTTATTAAATAAAAAAGAACTGAATGAATTTTAAGTTTTGAAGGCACTAAATGTATTCATATTTTTATTATATATTATTTTACAGAACATTAGGATAATTAGTTTTAAAAAAAATATAATAAAAGAATGCAGCATTACTCATTTTCAATTTTTTTTTTGTCATTATAACCTTAAGTTGTTATTTAAGTCTCATCACTATAGTTCTGCATTACACAAAAATTTTCCCTCATAATAATATTGGTAACAGCAAATGTTCTCCTCAAATGCTTCAGTTCGTACATTAATCACTGATTCATTACACAATTGTATGTTTGTAATCTAAGTTGTGTCATTAGGTATCATGTTATAGAGGTTAATTTGTATAGTAATTAAATGGCTTCTTTGTAAGCCTGTGCACAAACGTGTAAATGATCGAAAAAGTTTTAACAATCTTTTTAAGGTGTGTATAAAGCACACAATAAAATAGATATATAATAATTTTTATTAAAAATTATAAAGTATAATACATTAATAAAATTAAATGCTAATTTTCAAAAGCTGCACTAAAGATTATTCACAATGATTAAGAACATCATGAGGTGCAGCAAAGCCGTACATAATGCTGAGTGCATAAACAGTGGTGATGGATAAAGCTTTTAATTGCTTCCTTTCATCTGTCCCATGTACTTTCAGCAGAATTAATAGTAGGACCACTGGAATCAATCTATCCTTCGATAAGTTCTTCCAAAACCTTAGCAGTAACTTGTAAATTCCACCCCTTCAGAGAAACTGCAATGCTAAATTAAATGCAGAAACATAAAAGCTGTTTATTTTTTATATATAGAAATTTAAAATTATATATATCAAATTACGATGTTTTTTAAAAAGTACAGAAATATGATGTTTAAAAATCATCAATTTTAGTGTAAGTACTGATTAAATGATTAAAAAAATACAAAATTTAAAAAATTGTTACTAGTATTTTTTAAAAAAATTAAAAAGTTAAAATTCGCTAATGATAATTTTTTAATTAATAAAAAAAGTAAAAATACAAAATTATTAATGATAATTTTAAAAAATAAAAAAATAAAAAATACTAAAAAAAGTCACTTATTTTTGTTATTTAGATATATAAAAAGTGATCAAGATTCAATAATTTCTTCACTGGATACTTTTTTTATAAAAAAAATAATGATTAAATCTTTTTTTAATCTTGAAACAATATTATTTTAATTTATAAAATCTTTAAAATGTCAGGCTTTACGTAATAAAAATAACATTATATGTAATATAATATATATTTTTATTTTATTTTAGTCCTTAAAAATGTTATATACTAGACATTTTAGTCATTAAAATTATCACCAACAAATATTTTAGTCCTTAATTTTTTAAATATTTTATTTATTAATTCTTCTTTTTCATTGTTTTTCATTATAAATTATCATTGCTTGTCACTGTCAGTGTTCTTTGTTAGCGACAAAGTCACTACCATCTGACAATAATTATTATTCTTATTATTAGTTCAATAATCTCTTATTTGAATTTTATGTTATTATATGTTTCCTTGCTAAGAGTTCCTAAAATCTTTTCTCAAAGGATTCGCAACATAACCTGAGAAAAACTTTTAATTTCAAGCTCCAAATCTAAAACATCATTGATGCATAAATCTAAATAAAGTTCTTAAAATCTTCTTGTAAGAGTACCTCCTTTACTCATGCTAGGGTGTGGTTATTGTCACTGCATATTGCGATAGTAGGATAAAATCATTCCACACTTACATGTTACCTATACCATTTTAGAATGATGTGACTTTTCTTAGATTAAAGAATATGGTCAAGATTCATTACTTTTCTTGGACATATCCTTAAAGAATTACATGCTCATGGAGATTCAAGAGAACAAAGTAGTAAGGGTGTCCACAAGTTGGTTTGGTTCAGGTTTGGCAGAAAAAATAATCTGAACGGATTAAAATTGATTAGTTTGGTTTGATTCGAATTTATAGAAAAAAAAATTTGAAAATCGAAATCAATTTGAACCAAACACGAACTAGTTGGTTCAGTTTGGATCATTGGATTATCCGATTAAATAATATAAAATAAAAAAACATATAAAAAATAAAAAAAATATCATTTTTTATTCAAATAATTCTTGACACATAATTTCAACATAATTACATAACATTTCAACACAAATTCAAAACAAACCTCAATTCAAAACAAAAAAATCAAATTCAAAATAATTGTCAGGAATCTCTAAAGCCAAAATAATTCAAACACTACAATAACATAAACACTTATTCTTCATTTCTTCATCCACTCTTGACTCTTCACCACATTACAATAATATAAACACTTAATTAGCAAATAGTAGCTAATTAAAGAAATATTGAAATTTATCAAGTAGTATTCATCGAGTTAATTTAGATATATGTTCAGGTGATCAAGTTAGCACAATGTCACTCGTTATCGAACCAAACCACGTTGGATTTGATCGATTAGGATCAGATCGGATCGGACCCGTTAAATATTGGTTTGGATCATTTTTCAGTTTGAATCGGTTTACATTAACGGGTTCGTTGGTTTACCTGATTCAATGGATGCCCCTACAAAGTAAGTTGAAGTAAAAACTTTAAGCAACAAGCATACATTTGCAATTTTGATGAATCATGGACTTTTGCTTTTGAAGGGTCCCCTTTCAAATTTCAAGTGATTTATATTGTTTGTTTATTCTTGACAAGTGGTGACACTATTATAGTTCTAATGTAACTCTACTAAATATTAGTAAGTGGTTGGCAAAGGTAGTTTTTTTATGATGAATAATGAAGAAGAAGAATGATGTATGATAAAAAATTTTAAAAACTATAGACTAAAATATTTATTAATGACTAAAATGTTTGATGGATAACGATCTCAATGACTAAGATAAAATGAAAATGTATATTATACCATATATGATATCATTTTTGTCACGTAATTAATCATATATGTTATTTAACGTAATATGTTATCATTTAGTTAAGTCTATTAATGATGTCTAAGTCTAGGACTAAAATGTTCAACAAAAATAGAAGAGACTAACGTAATATTTTTAAAATTTTTACAATTAAAATGTCTAACGCTTATTATCTCAAGAATTAAATTAAAAGTTTAGTTAAAAAATAATATCAAAATAACTTAAGGAGATGAAAAATCAGAAAAACAACAACATTAGTTAGTAATATTTTGTAAACTTTGGACAAACGATTAAGTAATAGAATAATATTATTTTTGTTAAATGATTACACACTTTTTATGATTAACAAAGAGAGATAAAATAAATAAAAAATAAAAAATAAATAATATGATGAAGTGATATAAAAAATATTATAAAAATTTTAAGGAGAATAACATTACTCTAAATAATATTCTAGTTCTATAATAACCATTTTTACATGATTAGAGTTTACACATAGCACATAATTTATGCTAGTATCTTTTTTGCTTAAACACAAGTATGCCAAGCAGGTATACAAAGTTTATCAACCAAAACTGTTTAGGAAAGTGATAGTTGGTAGTACCTTGTTAATTTTTTCCTTTAAATGGTTTATTGATTATTTGTGCTAATGAATTTTTAAATTTGTATTATTATTTTTATATAATTTTTTAAAATGCATTTTTCATTATTATACTACTTGTCTTATACTTCTGTATCTTTTTTATTTTCTATCTTTCTCTTAAATTATAAAAAAATATTTAAAAAGTATTGTGGAAGTAAAATTGACTTTTTTAAATTGATGGGTTGTTTATAGATATAATAAAACAAATAAGAAAATTAAATTAACATGTATCTGTGATAAAGTGGAATGTCGATTATTTTTCCCTGCTCAGATCACGAAACCAATTGTTCTAGTCCTAATCGGCTTATTTTATTAATACAAGGAAGATACTTTGTTTCTTTAAGTGCTTGTTTAATATTTTTTTAAAATAATATATAAAAAATAAATTAAAATAAATTAAAAATGTCTTACAAAAGTTATAAATTATTTTAAATCTCATTCAAACAAATCCTAAATTTGAAATGTGAGGAACACCACACACATGTTAAAAAATAAAAATATATTAAAAATTAAGATATTTAATAAATATTTTATTTTAATAAAAGATCACTATATTTTTTTGTTACATGTATTTAACCACACATTAAATAGATTGTTTCTAACAAAAAAAATTAATTATAATTTTGTTTCCTTAAATATACATTAAATAAAAAAATCAACAATTTAAAAGCAGATTTTTTGGTTAAATTTTTATTGCAAAGGAGTGATAACTGTGTGAAAGATGTGGGTCGTCTCCTAAAGCGTTGCCTTTAAATGAATGGGGATAGGATTCTTTACTTGTAGTTGCGAGGATGCACACAAAACAACCAACTAACAAGTTTCAGTGTCCCAACTACGCGTGGTAGTTTGAAGTTGTCCCCCTTCTCAGGTCCCAAACATGTCTTTAGCAAAAATTTATAGTGTTTCGTTCAGTTTCTTGGTGGTTCCCTAGTGAGGTACTTAATTGACTTCTGGGTCTTCTATTTTTTACACCTTTTAACGTGTATATGTTTTGCTTTTTAGTGTATAAATGTTTGGCATTGTGGTCTTGTTTTGTGACTTGTTTCAATGCTTGATTTCTTTTCTGGAGGGAGACCCTCTGGAGTACAAGATGCCTGTATGCTGAATTGATTATTTATCTTTGGTTCCTATGAGTTGTTGTGAGTGATTCTTCCCCCTTCTTTTCAATGGGTTTATCGAAAAAACAATTTTTTGCTTTTGCCCCTTTCTTCTGCTGTAGGATTTCCGGAATTCTTGTTTCTGGTACAGTTTTGGTGTTCTTTCTTATGTTGAATTTGTCTGAATGGTTGATGTCTTAAATTTGAATTTTGGTTTTTCAATTACAAACTGTTTGGTGGTTTTGTTCTGGAAATAGAATGACATTGCTGGTTAGTGATTAGTGGTTACTTATTATGAATATATTCACTTCTGTCTATGCATGTTGTCTTCCATGTGGCAGACATGAAACTTCAGCCCTTAATTTTCTTGAACATATACAAAACAGCCAAGTTAGTTCCTTTTTCCTTTTCAAAAATCTCTCTAAGACTATTTCAAACTCTGATCACAACTACTGAGCTATGTTAAATTAATCTTTAAGCATTCGTTGATATAGTTTCAGCTTCATTGTGTAACTGTACATAATCTCATTCTCTCTCTCTCTCTCTCTCTCTGTGATGTGGTCTATCTCTTTTAGTCTCGTATGTATTCAAAACTTTTATCCACGCATCTATTCTAGTGTTCTGTTTGCCTTTTGATTGATTATTTAAGGAAATGCTTGTGAAATGGATGCGATCGTTTGGTCAAAAGTTTATTCCTTTGAGATAAATCCATTACTTCATCAATGCATTTCCTTCGAATGTACTGACTGACGATTTATAATGCTGATGTTCTGAAACAGATTAATCTTGGCAGTTTGGCGTCCGTGGTTTTAGTTTCCATTTGAAGTGGTTTTAATGGGAAATGTACTTAGTCTGAACAGTACCAGGACCAGATGGAGTGATCCCTATGAGGTTTTGCAAGGTGAAGCCTGCAAGAGACAGAGGTTGTCCTCAAGCTATAGTGAGGACACCTCAAGACTGATTCCGTCCCTTCCTGATGAGATATCAATACAGATTCTCGCTAGAGTTCCTCGAATTCATTATCTAAATCTGAGGTTAGTTTGTCATGCTTGGAAGGCATCCCTTGAGAGTTCAGAACTATTTTGTGTGAGAAAAGAGCTTGGAACCATGGAGGAGTGGCTCTACATATTAACAAAGGTCAAGGATGATAAGCTTTTATGGTATGGCTTGGACCCTCTTTCTAGAAGATGGCAAAGATTGCCACCGATGCCGAAAGTGGGCTTTGAAGATGAAACAAAGAAAGGTTTGGTTGCCTTTCCCCTGCGAATGTGGAGCATGATTGGTTCAAGTATCAGAATTGTTGATGCCATAATGAGCTGGCTCGGGAGGAGAGATTTCCTTGACCGGATGCCATTTTGTGGTTGCTCCGTAGGAGCTGTTGATGGTTGCATCTATGCACTGGGAGGATTTTCACGAGCTTCGGCAATGAAATCTGTTTGGCAGTATGATCCTGTTAAAAACTATTGGACTGAGGCGAGTCCAATGTCAGTTGGTAGGGCCTATTGTAGGACAGGTATATTAAATAACAAACTTTATGTTGTTGGAGGGGTTACTAGGTGTCGTGGTGGACTAAGTCCTCTTCAATCTGCAGAAGTATATGATCCTCATACAGGCATGTGGTCCCAATTACCTAGCATGCCTTTTGCAAAAGCTCAGGTGCTGCCAACTGCTTTTTTGGCTGACATACTCAAGCCTATTGCCACAGGAATGGCTTCGTACCGGGGAAGGTTATTTGTTCCTCAAAGTTTGTATTGTTGGCCATTTTTTGTTGATGTTGGGGGTGAAGTTTATGATCCTAATATGAATTCATGGGTTGAAATGCCAATTGGCATGGGTGAAGGCTGGCCAGCTAAGCAAGCTGGAACAAAATTGAGTGTTACTGTCAATGATGATCTATATGCACTTGATCCATCAAGTTCTCTTGACAGTGCAAAGATCAAGGTATATGATTATGAAGGTGATACTTGGAAAGTTGCAGCAGGAGATGTTCCCATTCATGATTTCACTGAGTCAGAATCTCCTTATCTTTTGGCTAGTTTGGTTGGAAAACTTCATGTAATAACTAAAGATGCTAATCACAACATTACAGTGTTGCAGGCTGACATGCAAAATGAACATTCTGATTTAGCTTTCTCCCAATCAATATTGTCATCACCAATTAACTCATTCAGTCAAGATGCTGAATCTTCAGCAGAAACACAGAGAGAATTTTGGAAGGTTCTTGCAACTAGGAGTGGTAGATCTGCTGAACTAGTTAGCTGTCAAACCCTTAAAATTTAGTTTTTGGGGGGATATGAAGTCCTCTTAAGGTCATGACTCCTGAGTATGTCTGTGTTGGCTGGTATGGTTGCTAATATAAGCCACAATGTTAGGAAGATTTCAAAATTGTAAATGATTTCTTTGCAAATGATTCATAAGATGTAACCATTCCAAGTTACCCTCATGAACAAAGAAGAAGAAAAAAACAATTATAACTATCCAAAGCAAGAACATCATTCAAACATACTGCATCAAAATCTGAGGTTGTTCGGGTTCCTTTTTTTACATTATGTTGAGTATATTATCGTTTTGTAGCATTTGGTTACTTGATGAACAGGATTACTGAAATCATCCAGTGAAAGCAACCTTTAGTCTCTATTTACCTTAAACAACTGAAAAGGACGAAGGTTGTAATTTTTATCACAAGTTAAAATGCAAGAGGGGGAAGAATATAAGGGGGAAAGGAGAGGAAGGACATAAAATTTAATAAAACTTACATAAAATTTCATTTTTATATAAAACCTATTCCTTTTATTGGTGTTACCCAATTCGAATAAAATTGACACAAGTAAAAATATCTGGACTCTGGGAGAAAAAAGAAAGTTATTCTTTTGGCTACAGCTCTCAAATTCTTTCTTTCTTTTATTACTTTTATTACGTGTGGTTTGGGAAGTACAATACCAAAGCAAATTTTAAATGCAAACAGGGTATTCATCTTGCCTGTAGTATTTATATTCTTTACCTGTATTGTCATGTATTAGCTCCAAAACTAATTTGAGCAGTGCAATGTCTCTGTAATCGGTAAATCATCATTATTGATTGATGGGGAATTCTTTAACATGATCAAACAGGCTTATGATCTTAGGACTACTCTCTCAAATACTACTCGGCAAGAAAACCATTATTTTTTTTTATAATTATATTTAGATATATTAAAACTATATCGTATGAAAATATTTTAATTATGAGAATTATTTTAATAATATTATAAAGAGTTTTTCTAATTCGTTAAATTTAAATACTTCTTTTATTATACCATTACAATTATTAAATGCCAAATTTAAAAAACAGTAATCTTTAAGGGTTTTTTTTTTGCCAAAATAAGGTAAAAATAAAAAAATTATTGAAATAGTGTATTTACAAAATATATTTTCTGTCTGAGTAATTTTTGACACGTCACCTTAAATATCGACTCTTACATAATTGACATTTATTTTTTTTAGCAATAAAATATAAGTATTGTCTATGTGTAAGACCACAACACTTATTTTTTTATAATTAAAAAAATTAAAATTGATCGAACCCATTATATGAAAGTAGATGCACAATTTGTACTCGGAGATTGATCCGATTGATCCAACACTCAAAATAGAATAAAGTTCTCTTTGTCAAACTAAAAGAGTTATGAAAATATTAAATTTATATCTAATTATCTATATTTATTAATCACATCATCTTAAAAAAAAAATTAACCTATTCAACTATAGTTCAAAAGTCAAAATTACTATAACAGAAGTTTATTTCACACCTTATTTTGAAGTGTAAAATGGGTTGAGAAAAGAGAGAAAGAAAAAGAAAAAAAAATGTGAGAGAAAATAAGAAATGTAACAAACGACGAGATACAAAAATAAGAGAGACAAAAGAAAAGAAGATGAAAAATAGATATAAAAAAAAAGCAGACATTGAAATATAATTTTTTTACAAATATTGAAATACAATTGTTGTACCAAAAATTTATCTCATCCCTCATGATATTAGTTATCAACAAAAGTGTTTGCTCCAACTTAATTGAAGTAAGTAAAATTGAACCCTTGACTGAGAGATCTTTTAACCAGTTGTTTCATCAATCACTATTTAAACCGTCATTTTGCAGCTTTGTGAGACGTGTCCCTTCCTTTGCAAAATGTTTCATCATTCTAAAAGTCTTTCAGTTCGAAGATCATCTAGGACCTGACAGTTCATCTGGTGGGATACTTGAAGCTGAGTCTAATATCCAGTGAGCAGTGTGGTGATTGGAGGAGCTGTAATTTTGGCGGATCATCTCCTCTTTCTGCCACCATTGATCCCATTTTTCTGCCAAACCATCACCCTCTAGCATTCTCACCACCTCAGACATCTTTGGTCTTTCTACAGGGGAGCTTTGTGTGCATAGCAAGGCCACTTGGATTACCTCTTGTACCTCTTCCTCATCATAATTTCCCTGTAAATCTGCATCCACCAGTGTCTCCAACCTCTTGTCTTTCAGAAGTGCTTTCACCTGAGCTCAAAATAATCAGTTGCCAACAATGATCATTAGTCATTGGTGTTGATATCTGTATATAGCTCATGCAACAACAAATTAAACAACAGCCAGGAAGATGAGATTCAATAATCTGGGACAGAATAGGAACAGCCAAATCAACTTAGTATTTTATTTTCATAGCAAAGGCTAGTTAGTTGTACAACAACACTAAACCAGAATATAAAACAAAAGAGGTTTCAAACTTCAGCTAGGAATGCATGGCAAGAGCAAATAAGAACTCACCGTGTAATGAAGTTATCGATTACACCTTCATAAGAAATTAAAAGAACTGAAATTGGGATTAATCGTATCTAGTGCAAAAATATTTCCTTCAACAATATCTTCAACCATACTATGTTAAGAAAAACACACATGATTGCAAATTGAGAAAGAAGTACTAATGGCATATTTTTGGTAAACATAAAACAGAATACTTACCCAATCAAGTAACATGACATCATCATCATTGGCAAGTCGTGCTAAATCAAAAGCCCTCTGTCCAGTTATAAGTTCAAGAAGCATCACACCATATCCAAAAACATCAGTCTTCTCTGAAGACTTTCCAGTTGAGAGGTACTCTGGTGCTATATGGCCAATTGTGCCACGTACAGCAGTAGTAACATGAGTATCTCTGTAATCCATAAGCTTTGCTAAACCAAAATCTCCAACAACTGCTTCAAAGTCCCCATCCAATAATATATTAGCAGCTTTGACGTCACGATGAATAATCTTTGGGTCACAATGATCATGCAAATAAGCAAGCCCTCTAGCAGCTCCTAGTGCAATATGCCTTCGTATTTGCCATGCAAGTGGTGGTTGTGTGTCTGGACGTTCTACAACAATACCATAAATAGATGTATGAGAGAAAATTTATTTTTTTCTTGAGAAACAATTTTAAGTTAAAATAGTAATAAAAGGAATGCATATCAAATTAATCATTCTCAATAGACTAAATAAAACAATATAAATAATTGTACCTCGTAAACACGATGCTACACTTCCATTAACCATGAAAGGATACACAAGCAAACGTTCAGTAGTTGTCATACAAAAACCTTGTAGCCGAAGCAAATTTCGATGCACAGCCATGCTGATCATTTCCACTTCAGTTTGAAATTGCAGCTCCCCACCCTGAGTGCGCTCCTCTTTAAGTCTTTTTACTGCTACAAGAGTACCATCTGTTAAGCGTCCTTTATAAACCTTGCCAAATCCACCTCTACCAAGAATGTTTCTCCCACTAAAGCTATCTGTTGCAACTTGCAGTTCACGCAGCGAAAACTTTTTTAGCTGACCAAGGTGAACTTCAGGATCCTCCTCAGCTGCCAGAGGAGGACATACAAAAATATAGGAAAATCAGTTATGGCTATCATATATTAATCAGTCTTATATACCATCTTTTCTGTTAATCAACTAACCTGCAACATCAAAGAAATAATCCTGTGGTCTCCTTCTTCTCGAATAAGCAAGTGCAATTGCAGGGGTTGCAAACATCAGTGCTGCACCCACAGCAACTCCTCCAGCAATGATTCCAGTAGCGCTGTTACCTTTACCTACAAGGATAAACAGAATTGGACGGGAAAGTATAACTCTTTTGCAAAACTCTGCTTCTCATTGAATAGAATAGAAAAAAGTTCAACATTATCATTAACTCCCTTTCTTGAATTTTAGCATGAGTGACATTCACCTCAAGAAACTATTCATTTGAGCATGCAGAAGAAGCTATGCTTAAGGTATCTCCATCATCAGATGACATTTCTCGATAACAATCAGTCACCCTTTTCAATAAATTTAAATTTTTAAGAATGAAAAGGTCCAGTCACAGAAATCATCCAAAATTCCAGAATAAGCATTTGGAAAAAAAATGCAGCCTATCAATTATCATCAGCTTCATTTCTCCATGACTTTGGAAGCAAAGGATGAAGGATTGGTAGTAAGGAAAGGAATGGAGTGGATGCAGCTTGTGTGAAAGTAACAAAAGTAAAGTACCACCAAAATTGAAAACCTTCTGCATATTATTAATTTTGAGTTTTACAACACCATTATTGAACCTTTTCCTTATCTTAGTTTAAATTACATGACATCAAATTCTAATTGGCCTAGTGGTGTAGAGTTTGACTGTTGCCCCCAGTCTTACAATTTCTTAACAAACTTGATATGCTTTCAATTTTAGTTATAACCTTATATTCTGTCCATGCTTCAAGCCTAGTGCACTTTCTCATGAAAAGTCATTTTAAGAGTTGTATTTTTATCTTATGCTTTTAGGTCGGGTTATTCTTTGAAAATTTAAATTTGTTACCAACAACAAAACAAATATCAACAAACCTGAAGCTGGTTGTGATTGTGGAGTAGACGGTGAAGCTGGACTGGTTTTATTCAAGTGAGGATTATTGTTAAAACTGTTAAGAGGAATACAGGGGTTAGCAAAAATTTCATATCTCGTTCCTCAATGATAATGGTAATGCATATCAGGAATCATGACATAATTGGAATGGGACTTGAGCCCCACGTCAAAAGTATGGATATCTGAGGTGGGGTTTATATCAGGCTCTTGCACAACAATGGCTGTTGGCTAGCTGTTGTAGTGCATTTCTCCCAAGGTTATTATCATAAAGAAAAAAACAATTTCATTTTTACCAACCTGATAGGAGTAAACATTGAAAAAGAACCATTGACTGGGACATTTCCTGTCAAGTTGTTGTTCGATAAATCACTAAATTCCACAATGACCAACAGTGTCAGGTTACACATAAAAATAATGTAGCAAAGTATGTACATTTGCAGTTGTTCATGAAAAAAGTAAATATAGTAGTAAAACTCACAGGACTTGCAGTGAATTAACAGTGGTCAACCTCACAGGAATGTTTCCCGTCAAGCTGTTATTGTTGAGACGCCTAGTTCAGGGGGCAGAACCCCATTTAGTAAATAACCAACTATTGACAAAGGAGTAACAGGATGTGACAGCAAACAATCATCAAGTAGCAAGTGTGGTGGGTATGCGTGCTATAATAACTTGCTGGTAACTTATATTAGCATCTATTTCATGTGCTTAAGTAGGATGGTACTTCTCTTGGGCAAGTTTTAAAAGGATATTTCAAGATGCATTGAAACTTGGGCATATTATGGGTGCATAATCTGCCACCATTTTTTGTGGGAAAGCAAAACTTATGAATGCCAAAAAAAGTAAATGAAGACACAAAATTTAAATTAATTTAAATAACTTTTGCGGATTGAAGATATTAGATAAAGGAAAGGATGTCATACAAGAAACGTAGACTTTTAAGGTTGGCCAACTTGTCTGGAATGGGACCAGTTATGTTGTTCAAGTAAAGATCCAAGCTCACCAATTTTGTCAAATTTCCAAGCTCATCTGGGATTGTCCCAGTTATGTTATTACTATAAAGTTCCCTGTCATTGAAAAGAACAATGGTTTCATATTTGAGCAGGGATATAAGTCCAATGAATAACTAAAAATGGTAGAAGTCATTTGCACAATGCTATAATGGGTTAAAAGTTAAAACCAAATCAAACTTGGGATGCTAAAAATTGAACTACAAAAATATATATAGATCGCATGTATTCAATATGTCACCTTTTCTTTCAGCAATTTATACAGTTATTCCTAACAACCGGCTAATGTCAAGTTATGTTAATGTACAGCAGCATCAATAAGAGCTAAGTCAATGAATTACGGTGATTTGTCAAATATATTGCCTTGTTTACCTGTTTTACAAAAAGCAAGCACACTAGCCCATGGTTTAACTACATTTTGCAATGCCCCCATATCTTCAAAGTTCATTGTTATTTCAAACCATTTTGAGAATCGTGTATGCAGCAGGTATTTCTTTTTATGGAAAATGTTGTTCAACAACAGAACAAAAATTATGTAAATATGGTTCTTAACACCCTCCCCCCCCCCCCCCCCCCACCCCCAAACAAATGGTAGTCATAATTTTGTTGTATGGTCACTCAAGAAACAGTAAGCAAAATCTGCTCAGGTAAAAAAAGATGAAAATTTCCCCAACTATATCATATCTGTTTCATAACTTACAAGTATTGCAAATTTGGGAGCTGACCAAGCTGTTCAACAAGTTGACCCGAAAGGTTTGCATTTCCAAGATCACTAGCCAAACAAACATGAGTTTTTCCTTATATGCACGAACTTTCATAAAAGTACATGTAAAAATGACATAAATATCTTACACACGGGTCACGCTATTGTCACTGTTGCAAGTAACATGAAACCATGTGCAAGGATTGACGAGGGAAGAATCCCAGCTTTGAAGAACACTTAAAGGATCAACCACACTGTTCTTAAATGCACTCAGAGCATCACCTGTCATAGAAGCAATATTCAGGGGCAATTGCCAGCATCCTCAACATATGAAATCGACAGGAGTAAAAAATAAACAAACATCAGCGTTTATGTTGTTCTAATGCAATTGTGTGAAGTACAAGAAGTAAAAACATGAAGCTCAACTTACTCTAGTAAATCCTAGAGCACAAAATTAAACACTTTTCATCTTAGAGTTACAAACATTGAAGCTAATCATACAGAGCACAAGCACATCATGGATACTGCTAAAATCTTCAAGTCTCTGATAAGATAATATTCTATAAACAAAAACTATTACAGGCAGAGAATTGGGTGAGATATTTCGAAAGTCTCCGACGGTTTTACAAGTTATTCAAAGATATGAGCCACAGCTGAAAGGCAACAAAAAGAACAAATAGGTAAAATAAAATAAAAAGGCATAATTGAGTATTATAGTGACCCTACACATTAGAAAAAGCACACCCTCAATGGGATCAGATATTTATGCAGTTGTTAAAACTTCAACACTAACGGGCACCACTCACCTTCTGGATTGCCAGAAACTTCTAGAACCAAAATAGGCCAGAGAAGAAACAAACATTTGATAGATGAAAACATCACTCTCATCAGCCTCTTCAACTGCTCCACGACCTTCATAATCACGCGCACACACTTGAATCCCTCTTAATACTATTTATCTCCATTGTACCCTTCAAGCTCAGAATCAAATTGACCAATAGAAATAGCAGTCAACTTAAGGATATATTTTCCATCGCTGAATAATTCTGGGTAGCTCCAAGTTCTTTTCTTTTTGATATGTTAGTTCTTATTCTGGAATATGGAGCTAAAGTTTGACATGGGTATCATCAGTTTCAAATAAAAATGTAGGATACAACAGTGTTGAGAGAGAGAGAGAGAAGTGCTCCAAAGCTACGGGCATTAAACGTGTGGAATGTTGAGGGAAGACTTGGGATTCAAGTCAATGAACGTTGCATTCTTTTGTGGAGAAATTTGTCCTTCTATTGTTCTTTTCTTTTTACACATACATGTGACTTACGATGTGAGAGGGAATTTTCAGATAAAATTGAATGCGAAATTGTAGTTAAGAAGAAGTAAGAATGAAGGGTCAAAGACGCACGTTTTGACGCTTAAAAAGCTTCTGCATAATTTGAACCAATAAAGGGGGGCATCTTATGTTTACTGATTTGTGATCATAAAAGCATTCAGATTTCAGCGTTTCATCTTTGCCTGTGCATTTTGACAACTACTTGAGATTTTGTTTTTCTTTAGCTTAAATATTTTCACGGCGTGTTTGCTTTGCATTACAAAATCAATTTTAGTTCGTTAGAATAATAACGTCTAAGTAATAACATAAACTAAAATATTGATTATTGTATATATTAAGAATTAAAACAATTGATTATTACATGTATTGAATAATAAAATAAAATTTTGTTTAGATTATGAATTATTTGTTGAATTTTCAAAATAAAAAAATACTAAAATAAGCGACTGTTGTTACATATGTTGAGACTAAAATAATATTTTACTTAATTTAGGGACTATTTTGATGAATTCTAAAAATAGTAAAGAATAAATTAATAATTTACTTATGAAAAAATAGACTCAATTTTTTTTCAAAGAGAGATAAAAAAAGGCACTCGGAACTTTTGTATTTTTTTCAGATTTTACTTAAAGGTATTTGTAAAAACTTACAAAAGTTATTAATACAGTGTAAAAAGAAAAAATGAAAAAAAAAAACAAAAAACAAAACTGGTGAACAACATTTTACTCCTCGATTAAATTGATTCAACATAATTTTATTTTTATTTTTATTGCCAGTACTCAACTCAACTCAACATTTTGTTTTGGTCAACGATTCATCATTATATAGACTTTTGTTCCAAAGATTGAGAATAACTTAACTTAAAAGGCGACAAGTGACCCAAAAAGTAATGGCCCAATGCTAAGCCCTTCCAAAGAATATTGAAGTGTAACCCAAAAAGCCTTAGTCACATAATGTGATCGAGAGGGTTTTTTAAGGGAATTTTTGGAGGATAAGTAAAAGGGAAGACAAATTTTATATTTTAAATAAATATATTTAAAATTAATATTATAAATAATATATAAATTAAAAAATATATCATTTTTTAAATATCATTTTGCACTACGAATTTTAACTGTCTTTTTACATTAGAATTTTAACTGTTTTAAATGATTAAGATTAATTAGAGAGAATGAATGAGTATTAAAAATATCATATTTTATACGTGGCTGACTATTCTGTCGCATCAGAAGATCTGAATCCGAAAATCACATCACTCTTCTGTATTTATTGAAAATAAGATTTTAAATGTATTAATTATTTTTAAATATTTTATTCTAAAGTCACTTTTAAAAATTTATTTATAAAAAATATTATGAAAAGAAAAATGGTTTTCTTTAAAGTGATCCAACATTAACATGAATTTTTTTATTAAAAAACTATAAATAACTTATGAAAATAATTTATAATTTTTATATTTTTGTATTTTATTTCAATACATGTTTTAATATAGTTCATTCAGTAAATTTCTTAAAAATTCATAATTAGTATTTTAAAAATTATTAAATCAATACTTAAATAAGTTATTCGTTTTAACTCATGTTAGTAAAATGTGAATTACACCATGCTAATGTGTTTTTTTTTTTTTTTTGGCATACTTTATTGTTCACGATAAACAGTCACTTCTTCTTAGACTTAGTTTCAATAAATTTTGATAGAAAAAGTGATTTTCTTTTATAAATTATAAATAACTTATTTTATCAAGAAGTTAAACGGAAATTTTTTAAAATATATATATATATAATATTTTTAATTTATGAGATAAATTTTATTTATTTTTTATTTCTTTGAATTTATCAAAAGTGAGCCTTACTATCTTTCAAGTTTTAAATAAAAAAGAAAAAAATTCTCCTATTTAGTTATTAGGAGGTTGTGTAATTTCATATTTTTTTTAGTTTTTATTTTTATTTTTAATTATAAATTTGTCACCTTATTTTTATACTTATTTTAAAGATTTGATAAAAAATATATTGAAATTATTTTTTTCCTATTTTTATTTTCTGTATTAATTTTTAAAGACAAAAAATAGAATAAAAATAAGATAACAATTTTATAAATAAAATTAATAAAATAATAATAATTTCTGAACCAAACAGCACGTAGCAATCTTACACACCTACTCTTTACACATTTGTATCCATTGTGTTCTACACAGTCTATCTGCATGGCTTCCTCAGCTGTTAATAAACGTTGAAACCATTGCTATCAATTTCAAGCTCATTTGCTCACAGATCCATCACCCATCACCAACTTTCTTTGCCTAAACAAAATCATATTTATTATTTTTTATATTTTAGTAAAATAAATAGTTTTTCTAATAAAAATTATTCTTTTTGATTACTTAATTGTTAATTCAATTAATATTAACAATATTCTTTCAATTTAATTGTTAATTGGATGGTGCAAACTAACTAACATTCTCCATCGAGAAAAGGTTTCAATTGAATTCAATTTTATAAATAATTAAGAAGCAATGATGAGCTGAAGAGGAAGTGGGATTGTGAAGGGAGAGGAAGTAGCTTGAATGACAAGTTAGTAATCATCAATCCAACAAATATGATGCACTTTACATTATTCAATGCCAACTGTGACTGACAGAAGCCTTCAGAATTATACATGAAAATTGCGCCCGTGATAAGCAACTTCCCTCACTACAAACATAATAGAGTATGGCCCATTGTTGCTCCCTTGCTTTCTTCTCTAAGGTCCTCAATTTACTTTCATGTCTTTTCATTTTTAATATTCCTTTTTTCTAATAACCTTTAATGCAACATTGCAACTATATATCCATGACCTTTACTTTCCATGGAGCTTCTATACGGACAAAGATGTTGAAGGGGACTAGTGACCCCTAAACTAATAAAAGCAACATCTTATATTTTGTACCAAAAATTGATTAAATGAATAGAAATAACCTTTTTCTGTGTTACCATGATTTTGGCCTCGGCTCCTGTCAATTGGGTAAGAGAGATTCATTGATGAAAGGAAAGGAAGTAAATCCCACGTCAGGACTCAGAATTCACGTTCCCTTAATCAACTAAAATTTGTAAAATTGATGCCTAGATCACAAAAAATAACTTTTTGTTAATATTATGTAATATGTAGAGATGATTTTATTTCAGTCAAATAAAGTAATTATGGATGACAAAATTTTCCTTTTAAATATTTAATATAATTATTGAGTATAATTATATGGGTCACAAAGTTTTTTCCTTTTTAAGTATTTAATTAGAATTCGAAATTACAAGTTAAGTTTGTATCAATTAATATTTATGTATTGTCACAGCATTCCTCGTTGTTGAGGTATATTTATCTCTCAAAGTCAAATCCTAATTAGGCTCAATAGTCACTACGATAGATGATACAGAACCTGTACATCTTTCTGCCTTCAAGTCCACGCTCGAATGGAAATTAATCCACTCACTATGTACCTTTTCGGTGGCTTTTATTTGTCTCCTTATTCATCATAGTCATACCTCTAATTAAAATCATATAGTGATTGATTGTAAGAATCACATACAGCTAATTGCACAACGTATAGCCTAAAAAAATAAACGCAATAATCATGCTTGATTCTTAGTGAAGTTACATAATTGTGGGATCCATCGTGCAAAATCGCCACACAATTGAATCCAAATCAAAATGGGATTTGGCAGGACAAACTAACAAATAGACATGGACATGCATGCTTGTTCTGCCTACCATATATTCCAGCAAATTCGATATTATAAGCTCATCGTTGAACTACAATTTCAAGACAGCTTGTGCTTCTACCAAAGAAATTGGACGATGAAACAAAAGAGTGCCATGTGTCGACTCCATATGTATAATTTTGAAGGCCCAGCACGAACTATGAAGGTAGTTAAGCTTTGATTATGTACACTACACTATATGCATGTAATTTAAAATGATACTTTATATATTCTGGCTTGTTCATCGTGGCTTTGGATAATGTCATTATAATGTCTTGCAATTGATTCATATACTTTTTTTTTAACAACAGTTTTGTTAACTTCAGAGATTTTAAGTAATTCAAATAAAAGTTTTATTGAAAAACATTTATTACATAATTAAAAATGAAAGAATATAATAAATGTTGTTTAATAAAAACCTTTTTTTAGTTGTTTAATATCATTCTTAAAAATTAATATTATCCAAACTGTTAAAAAGAAAATCTTGTCTTAATTAAAGTAGCTAAAGAGTTTAAAGTTCACCATTATCCAAACTTTTTATTTACCATGTATAAATATGTACGAAGGTAGGGTAGAAACATGTCTATAAACTCTGAAAAGAGGATTGAGGAAAGTAAATGGCCATCCCCTCTTATGTAATAACTAAATATGAAAATCACCCAATTTGTATAGAAAGTTGTTTGCCTGCCCAACCCAAATCTTAAAAAAGTACACCCACCGCAAAAAATAAAGGAAAATAAAACTCATATATTAAAACATATGGTTTAAAATGAAAATTTTGGAAGGTTCACTGAACACGGAGGAAAACTTTCTCGGGTTGAATGATGAAAGAGACAATAACTTGTAGTCAGATCCATTTGAAGGAGATAAAGACAAGTATAATTAATGTAGACAAAGAAATTGTTTTGAACCACTACCTTTGAATTATGAGGTATGAAACCTTGGAAATATTGGCTAGACTTTTCTAGTTTGAAGCATCCACTCATTTTGATTTTGTAGTATAAACTTAGAATAGCATTCTCTATACTATAGTTTAAATGTAACTAATAACGGGACGAGTTTCCATGCAAATGTGTCACAGTACAAAATAATATCAAAGTAATGAGTCACACATCAGAAACCTCAAATTATCTTCTTCCTCCTTGCCCTACTCATCACCCTTTTACTTTTCCTTTTAAATTTTTTATGTTTTAATATTTCTTATGAATAAGCATTATAATTCGTACACAGCAAATCTGAATCATAAATCAAACCTTCGTAAATCATGTTCCATTCTTCAAACGTTATTCGCACTTAATTGATCATGGTCTTTGATTATATATATATTATAGCATTTATACAACTAGAATAGACTTTGAGATTTAGACTTGAGTTCAGCTAGCTAATTGAACATTTTAATAATTGCATTGAGCAGATTAATTAGAGATTGGACATCACCTATTGGTACATATCAAGTTTAGGTTTGGCCTAATGAGTTAAGTATATCATGACTTTGACTCAATGGAACATGCAATGAATACTACTTATAAGGTATTTTAATGGCAATCATCTCACGAGGTAGATTATTTTTCAGTTGCAGAATTGTTGTGTTCAGGCAGAATATGATTCTCTGATTTTCCAGCCTTACCATAACAATTTGTGCATATGGTAGCATGTTGTTGACATACGTGGATTCTATGGAGAGACGAAGACCACAATAATTAATCTTCTAATAGTTATAAAGAATTCAATACGCATTTTATTTAATTTATTTTATAGAAACAATTCCAAACATGAAAAGGTTTTGTTATGCAAATTACCTTGTGATGATCTGTAATCAAATTGGCTCATATAGATGTAAAGTAGAGGGGGTGTTTTTCAGTAATGTAGCTTGCCATTCATAGAAATATAGTATCAGTAGGTTTGACTATATAAGTCTTTTATCTTTAAACAATTTGTTATTTCTAATTTTTTAAATGAGTTACATTATATTTATTTAAAAATAATAATTAAAAAACCATTTTAATAAATATGTAATAAAAAGTAAAAATAAAAATTTTAGTTTACCCATATTAATAATAGGAAGATGAACATGACCAATGTATATACAGTTGTCTTTTCGAATAATAAAGTAGTATGTAGTACTATTTAGCGACATGATTTTTGTCCACAAATGTAGAAATACAGTATTTTATCCCATTTTATATTACGATGACTAATGGGTCAATGGGCCCGCGAGTGACATGTGATGCGTCTCTTTCCCCTTTTGTAGTATTCATTCCATTGGATTAACTTGATGAACTCAGTAAATTGGATTGATTTAATTAAATTACTTTAATTTTCATATGATAAACTTTAATCTAAATTAAAATGTTAAATTTTGATTTTAAGATTTTATATTTTCTAAAATTAAACTAACTTGAATTGGATCAATTTTTATATTTTTTATTTTTATTTTAAGATTTGAAACGTCTTCCTTTTATTGATAAATGTATAGTAATTTATATTAAAAATGTAATGATTATTATTAAATTTTATTATAAATTTATAAATTTTTTGTTTGTATATTTTATGAACTAGATTTTTGAAGGTATTTATGGGTTATTTACTCAATGTTCTGAATTAAACTGATATATTTTTCACAACATTGGTTTCATTTGAATTTGTTATTTCTTTAAAAAAAAATATTTGTACAAAATAAAATCTAACACACTAATAAAGTAACACGCATTTATAATAAAATATCCAAGTTCAGTAATACGTATAAAATTTTTAATTTGGCTCTTGTAAAATAATAAGTACACTTTTAAAATATGAAATTATAATAATTAAATATTTTTAAATTAGTCTGATCATTAAAACAATAAATACATTAGTTCACAATTCCTTAGTTTATTTTATGACAGTTTTTGACCAATTCTTTTAGTCCCAGAAAGACAAACTACAAAAGCTTTTCATTTGAATCGATTGGTATATATATTTTAATTTATGATTATAACTATTGATTTGAATATAAATAACTTATCTTGAGATGTAACGCATGTACAGATAATATTTGTTCAGTTAATTTTCCCAAAAATAATTCATAATTTTCACACCTCTTTGGTTAAGTTGTCCCTTCAATTTAGAGGTGTAATATTTATTAGTTCATAACTTTGACAATTAAAATTTAAAGTAGTGTTTAAATACACTAGAAAAATATTCTATTTACCAACAATTCTTTTTGTTTTTCGCCCCTCCTATATTATAGACTTCTCTTAATAAAAATAAATAAATTATTAGCATAATGTGAGTTTACATTAACAGTAAAATATATTATACTAACTAATAATATGATGTGGTAATGGCATCTATTAATTTGTTATACTAACATATTTACTTATTAGTTTAATATACAATATTATTAATATAAACCTCCAATATATTTCTAGTAAAAAATGTCTATACTAAAGAGTCTAATGATATGTAGCAAAAAAAAAGAGTCTAATGATAAATTACTAGTAAATAATTTCTTTGAGTGAAAGTGTCATGAAATTCAAAATGACATTGTTTAGTCATTAAAAATACATTAGTATATATTTAGAAAAATCTCAATTTTAGTTAATGTTATTTACTATTATATCATATTATATATATACACACACATAATAATTACATACTTAAAAATAAGACCCTAATTCAAGAACACTTATTATATTAAAATTTTAAAATAGGTCAATTCGCTCAAATCCATTTTAAATAACTAAAGTTAATTTAAAAATTTATTCAAAATTAATTTTATGAACTCTAAGTCAAAATTAGATCAAAGCTAGCCTGCCCTTTGTTACAGACAGTCATGAGAAGAGAGAATCAGCTTCGAAAGAAATCACTCCTTTGAAAAAAAAAGATGTATCTCATATTACAAATAAGATAAAAAAATTAATGACCCACATTTAATTTGACCTCTCTAATTTGAAGGGAAAATATTTAAAAAGGAAAAAATTGTAATAATGAGTAAAATATTTTTAAATTTAAAATTTAGTAAAAAAATTAGTTAACATCATTAATTTTTTTCTTATCTATTCAGATGAATAATAAAGAGAGAAGTCAAGCTTTTTATTTTAAATAACCTAAAATATTTATCTATATTTTGCCCAGTTTTTCTTATATTAAATAAAGACGAAAACTTAAAAACACTATGAAAATTTTGCATATTATTTGCTTTATTGAATGATTATTGTTTTCTTATTTTTACATAGTTTTATTCTTTTATTTTATACACATGATGCATATAACTAAAAACTTATTTCTTGGAAAATAAGAAAAGAAAATGAGCTAGGTACCAATATTTACCATGCATGATACACATCAAAGTGTCATTGTCCACTTCTTAACCATATACATGACTGTTAACATCAAATATTAATTAACGTTTTAATAACAGTTAAAGCCTTTATCAATTTGTATTAAACAAAGACAAAAGTAAAATTATAAAAGAAGTTTTTCTACGTTTTCTTCCGTCCCTTTACTCATTAAGAGATTTGAAGCCACAACTCAATAAAGTCAGAAAAGGAAACTGCTCCTAAGATTTATTGAAACTTTTATGACCCCTCATGATTCATGAACAGAACATCGCATCTTTATGACAAAACCACACTAACAATTCTACTCTTTATGTTCTCATATTTTTATAAAACAAAAGCATCACTAAATTAAGCATTTTCCTTCAAAGAATTAAGAATAATATTAGAATGGACAAAAGAAAGTATAATCATAATATGTGTACTTTAACAGTTTACTACATCCTTATGGTGTGCAAATTGGTTTTGTCCATGAGAATGACAACCCCAAATCATTTATTCTAATCAGCCCAAAATCTTCACAGGTTCGAGTAGGGATTTGTGATCCTCAAGCTAAGCTCCAGAAGATCACAAGATCAACTTTCTCCAATCACAGTAAATCACATATAGAGGATCCTTTCCCATGCAACATTTGTTGCAACATGTGCACAATTTTCTTCATTGTGATTTGCTCTCTGTTGTTTTCTTTACTATACTATTTTTCCAATTGGTCACTCCTCTGTTTCCACTTTTCACTACGTGACTAAGTGCTTTACTTATCCTTAGGCCCTTCAAACCAGAGCTAGCCGCCATAGCTCCGTCACGTGATTTACCCTCTCAGGCCACTGATGAAAAAGCCTAACCCTATATTCCCATTTACGAGAAAATTTTACAAACAAATCATCATCATCATGTGATGTTATAATCTTTTTATATATAGATAGCAAGTCATGTTTCAGTTTTATATTCTATATATATCATTTCTTTAATGAACATTAAACAATTGGAGTTTATTCAATGTCCATTAATAAAAGAATATATATAATTTAAGATAAAAAGATCCATCCTTAATTTATATTCGGTGAGAATCAATAACATGTTTTTAATACATTTTTATCGTAATATATCACTAGAACAAGTTGAATAATGCACGTAAAATTATTCTGAGAAGCGTGTACTAAGATTTGGTCGCATTTCTCATGTTATATCTAGGCTGCAAGTTGAGCTTCGAAACAAACACACACTTACCAGAAACATAGAAAAGGCTTTTCTTTCACGGACTCGTTTAAGGTCCATGACTTTCTGATCAAAACTGTTTAGATTCCGTCGCTTATTGTTTTTGGCGCTCTGCCAAAAGCAACTTCTTTTAATAGGCCATTTCTTCTTCCAAATAAACACCCATCACGGGCCACTAAAAAACAACTTGTTCCTTAACATTTTTACTTCATGATTTGTTCTCTTTTCTCATACACACTCTAAGAAGATACATTATAAATACATTTCACTTGATTCCCCCATAACAAACATATCCTCTTGCTTCTTTTGTGTTAGAGTTTTCAAGGCCAAAACAATGGCCAGAACTGAAAACAGAGCATCCTCTGTTTTCCTCTGTTTCCTTATGCACTTTGCTGTAATTTTGTTGAGTTGTGGTGGAGTTAGGAGTCAAGGTTCTCCCATTTTCGCCTGTGATGTTGAGAATAACCCTGCATTGGCGGGTTTTGGGTTCTGCGACAAATCGTTGGGCGTGGATGAGAGGGTGAAGGACCTTGTGGGAAGGTTGACATTGCAAGAGAAGATAGGGAACTTGGTAAATTCTGCGTTGAATGTGAGTAGGCTTGGGATTCCAAGGTATGAATGGTGGTCTGAGGCACTTCATGGAGTCTCCAATGTTGGTCCTGGGACTCATTTTTCCAATGTGGTACCTGGGGCAACCAGTTTTCCTATGCCTATTCTCATTGCTGCTTCTTTCAACACTTCCTTGTTTGAAACCATTGGAAGGGTGAGTTGAGCTTTCTCTCCTTTTTCTTTTCATGATCATGTCATGTGTTCTCACCTTTTTTTTTTTTCCTGTGATAGTTCAGATTTCGTAAGGTATTCCTCAAATGTGGGCAAATTTCTAGCTTACCCTTTATTAAATAAAGAAAGTTGTTGACTTGAGTCATTTTAGTTAGTAGTTCTTTCTGTATGTCTTTCTTAATGCAGTTCATTATTGATTTAGAATGTGTTTGGAAATACATTGAAATATCTGTAAACGTGAATCTGATGCAAAAAACTACCAATAATAAAGTCAAAGTAACCATGGATTTATGGTCATTCAAACATGAACCAAACATGCACTTAATGAAAAAAAAAAGAAGAACAAATTAGTATGTGTGAAATGTTACCGGTGTTTCTTTTGCGAAGCAATGAGGTTGAAACTATTGATTATTGATAAGAGAAGAAGGTGGGGTGGGGCAGTTACTTACATGCATTATTGGTTAATGATTTGGACTTGGAAATGGAATTTTTTTGGGTACAAATTCGTAATTGCATGATAATAAATCAAACAAAAAATGCAGGTGAATTCCTAGAAGGAATTTCGATCTTGAAAATCTGAGGTTCTAGCTTGCATTTTGAAGCAAAAGTATATAAAAGAGAGGGATCGACGTTAATTAATTACCAATGACAAAATTGAAATATTAACCTCGTAATCAATTCTTAAATGGTACATTTAAATTGAAATAAAATGCAGAGTTCATGATTGCAAATATCAAGCACTATATTTTCATAAAACAAAAAAGATTTCAACTTAAAAATTTTGTGATGATCACAGGTGGTTTCAACGGAAGCTAGAGCAATGCACAATGTGGGGCTGGCTGGTTTGACATATTGGTCACCAAACATTAACATATTCAGAGATCCAAGATGGGGAAGGGGTCAGGAAACACCAGGGGAAGACCCTCTTCTAGTAAGCAAATATGCTGCTGGTTACGTGAAAGGTCTGCAAGAAACTGATGATGGGGATCCCAACAAGCTCAAGGTTGCTGCTTGTTGCAAACACTACACAGCCTATGATTTGGATAGTTGGAAAGGTGTTCAGCGTTACTCCTTCAATGCTGTGGTAATAATCTACAATTGGTCTAAAACTCATAGTACAGATAGTGTGTGTGAGTCTGTGTTTATTAAAGAAGGAAATGGGAATGTAGAGAATCATTTTTATGTTTTGCTTGTTAATTTGATTAGGTGTCAAAGCAAGATTTGGATGACACATTCCAACCACCATTCAAGAGCTGTGTGATTGATGGGAATGTTGCCAGTGTCATGTGTTCCTATAACCAGGTTAATGGAAAGCCAACTTGTGCAGACCCTGACCTACTTAAGGGTGTTATCCGCGGCCAATGGAAACTAAATGGGTATCGTTCAATCCTTCTTAATCTTTTCAATATCGTCTTTACAATAATAAGGGTTTTGTTTTTATACTTAAGCTATAAATAGAAAGGTTTTATAAAAAAAATATCCATATTTATTATATTAAAATTATAAAAGTGTAATCAATAATTATCTTTTCAATAATTTTTTTATTATTAATTATTTATTCTTAATATTTTCCTAATAATAAGACACACAAAAAAAGAATCTATAAATACCACACTTTTATAGAAAATTGTAACATTTGATGTTAGATTTTTAATGCATTGAATTGTGTCATTTCAATAAAAATTTACTGTACGCAAGTTCTTATTGTGTATCATTGAACACACATTAAAGAAAAAGAAACTGATAATATAATTATAATATATGAACTATGCAGATATATAGTTTCTGACTGTGACTCGGTAGAAGTGCTTTACAATGCTCAGCACTACACCAAGACTCCTGAAGAAGCTGCAGCCAAATCCATTCTGGCAGGTAAAATGGTTAAATAACCATATATTCATAGGCAACCGTTGAATTAGCAATTGCTGGAAAAAGTCTTGGATTTCGGATTTATTTGAATTTTATTTACTATTAATATTAAATAAATGTTATATTGTTAAATCAACTAAGTTTTTTACTAGGTCATACAAATTCTTTACGTTGTCTTCTTTTAATTTATATAAGAAATCTATTTACATATCTTTGTTGTATACAAATTTTGATTTGGCAGGGCTGGACTTGAACTGTGGTAAATATCTTGGGCAATACACAGAAGGTGCTGTCAAGCAAGGGCTTATAGATGAAGCATCCATTAACAATGCTGTCTCCAACAACTTTGCCACCTTGATGCGTCTTGGTTTCTTTGATGGTGATCCAAGAAAGCAACCTTATGGAAACCTTGGTCCAAAAGATGTCTGCACTCCAGCAAACCAGGAACTCGCCCGTGAAGCTGCAAGGCAAGGGATTGTGTTGCTTAAAAACAGTCCAGGATCACTGCCTCTCAATGCCAAAGCCATTAAATCGTTGGCAGTTATTGGACCTAATGCTAATGTTACTAGGAACATGATAGGAAACTATGAAGGTATCAAAATTTCCTACTCTAATCATTTGTTTATACATTCCACTTGGTCATAAGGAGTATTGGTTTATTTATCAATTATTCAAACTTATCAAAAAGTAGATTACTAAAATTCTCAATTTATCAATACCTGTTTGTCCAATTATAGTAAATGAGTTTGGTTCTCATTAAGTAAGTTCTTAAGTTCGAATCTTATGAATGGAAAAAACAATTGGTGTTGAAAGTGCTTCACTCCCTTAAATGGGTTCACTCAAATCAACCAAAAAGGAGAAAAATTATCAATTTGGTATTCCAATTTGCCAAAGATCATTACATCTATTTAGTTCTTGAATGACAATTTTTTTAATGTAAAAATAGTCCAAGTTATTGTCTATTGAGACCAAATTGGTGTTATTTAATGGATCACATTGTTTATATCGTAAGTTGAAAACTTGTTATCTTCACTTTGAGCTATAACACCACACTTAACAAGCTCCTAAAATTTTGCAGGCATACCATGCAAGTATACTTCACCCTTGCAAGGCCTAACAGCTTTAGTTCCTACAAACTATGTTGCTGGGTGTCCTGATGTGCACTGCAGCAGTGCAGCACTAGATGATGCCAAAAAAGCTGCAACATCTGCGGATGCAACAGTGATTATAGTGGGAGCAAGTCAAGCGATAGAGGCTGAAAGTCTTGACAGAGTCAACATTCTTCTTCCAGGACAGCAACAACTTTTAGTCACTGAAGTGGCAAATGTATCCAAGGGACCTGTAATTCTTGTCATCATGTCTGGAGGGGGCATGGATGTGTCCTTTGCAAAAACTAACACTAAAATCACAAGCATAATGTGGGTTGGCTACCCTGGAGAAGCTGGTGGAGCAGCTATAGCTGATGTAATCTTTGGATTTCATAATCCAAGTAAGTTAAGCCACTCACAACGTTTCATCATAGCAATTTTTATTCCAATAATAATGAAACAAGTTTGACACTCTTGGGTGATTTTCTGATTCAGGTGGAAGGCTACCTATAACATGGTATCCACAATCATATGTAGACAAAGTACCAATGACCAACATGAATATGAGGCCAAATCCTTCCACTGGTTATCCTGGTAGATCATACAGATTTTATAAAGGGAAAACTGTTTTCTCATTTGGAGATGGATTAAGCTACTCGACTGTGGAGCATAAGTTAGTTAAAGCACCTCAATTGGTGTCTGTTCCCTTAGCTGAGGATCATGTGTGCCGTTCCTCAGAATGCAAGTCACTTGATGTTGGTGATGAGCATTGTCAAAACTTGGCCTTTGATATTCACCTTAGGATCAAGAACAAAGGGAAAATGAGCAATAGCCACACAGTGTTTTTGTTCTCTACTCCTCCTGCAGTGCACAATGCACCACAGAAACACTTGCTGGGTTTTGAGAAAGTTCACTTGACAGGAAAATCAGAAGCACTAGTTAGGTTCAAAGTAGATGTTTGTAAAGATTTGAGCATGGTTGATGAACTTGGCAACAGAAAGGTTGCCTTAGGACAGCATCTGCTTCATGTTGGGAACTTGAAGCATCCTTTGAGTGTGAGGATTTGAAACAAGGATTCAAATCTTCAGCACTCACTCTTTTCTATTTTTCCTCATTGGTTCCCTCATTAAAAAATGTTGAAGGGGACAGGAAATTGCAACAAAAAAAATGGGTATCAGAAATAAGTTTTCGGTAATTGTAACAAATTATCTTATTTTCTTGTTCAAATAAAAAATTGAAATTAAAATCAAGATTTTAAGTAAAGTGTCCATAGTTTTTTAATGATTTGTCAACGCATATATAAAAATACATGATAAGGATTAAATAAATTGCAATTTTTTTAAAAAAAATTGCAGCATGTGATGATATCCATACATTTTATAATTAATATATATATATATATATATATATATATATTAAAAAAACTTACTATATATTTAAATTTTTATAGAGGCATGTTATGATAACAATAAATTAAATAGTATAATATTATTTTATTGTTTTTATTTTTAATTTAATTTTTTTACAAAATAAAATTTATACTCAAGAGATTGATAGGATGAAGCTATAAAATAGTTTCATCATTATACTGAAAATAACATAAAATAAATTATCCTATATTCTTAACATCTCATTCTTTACTATAAAATATGTATTAATATTAAATTTTAAGCACACCAATATATATATATATATGAAAAAAAAAATTAGAATTTAGCTTGTTTTTCCCGGTCTTTATCATTAGGCTTCAAGCTCTGCATAAACTCAATGTCTAGTAAAAATTGAATCCTTCGTTGCTTAATAACTCATGGATACCAATTTACAATTGAACACTACATAACTATAACCAAGATAATTTATAAGAGAAGATGAAGGGACCTTAATAAGTATTTGCAAATCTCATCTCACACTTCTTAGGAATGACCTAAACAATTTAACAAAAGATTTATATGCAATATGATTAATGGAGAAATATTGGAAGATTTCATATCGTTACTAACTATCATAAAATTGCATAGCAGGTGAAAATATATAAAACCTTGGTTGTTAATGGCATCATGAAATTCAGGAGCAGGATGAATGCTTAGCAAATGTTAATAGTGAATTATATGATGGATCAAGATCTGCTCCAGGACTAGTAACTGTAGGTCTGCAATAATAAACTTAGTTAAATATAAGAAATTCATTAAATTAGTTTTATTTAAAATATTAGTTAATTTAATTTAATGTTCTTAATTTTATTAAAAAAATAAACTTTATTTTCTAATTTAACCTTCAAAACATCTAAAATAACGTCGTGTTTTGAGAAGAAACTTAAATTATAGGAACTTGTTTTAAATTTAAAGCATATAATCATTAATGTCATATCTTAAAATTTTTAAAAATTAAATTAAAAAAGATATTTTAAGAATAAATTTATTAAATAGTATAAAATTAATTAAGATTTATTTATATTTTAAATCATCGTGCCTCATTTTATGTTTTTTTATTGCCTAGACTATGAATGTCGTCTATTGAAGAATATTTTTGTTCTAGTTGAATAGAATTACTAAAACCAGCAATTTTTTTTTCTCTTAACATTTAATATTACTGTATTCAGTAGAACAAAACCACATGCTAAGTTAAATTAATTAGTCAGTTAATTTACATGATTTGTTATTTATGTTTGGAAAAAAAAATACCTAGCTTCTTACATTTATTTATATCAAGTGTAGATAAAACAATTTGGATATTATATAAAAATAAGTAAATGAATATTCTTCAACACTTACTACTTATTGACACTCTTTCACTTTAAGAAACGAAAAACTTGTACTATTTACAAATTATTTACATGCAATAAAATAAACATTGAAAGAAATTGCTATGTGATTTTACAATTAGATATACTCTTATCTTGGCGTGTTACTTTTGCCTTTCAAATATGATGTTTTCTTTATTTTGATACGACAAATCTATTAGCTTTTCACTTTATCCTTAATTGTTGAGTTCCAACGTAAGACTAGCATCGAAGATAATTCGTCTAAATTGAAAATATTGAAATATAAATGTGTTTTTTTAGTTGACACGAAAATTGACATAAATAGCTTTAAGTTTTTACGTAAAATAATTTTAAATTTATTATAATCAGCGCTAGCTTCCTTCTTGAATTTTGAAAAACAATGTTCATTATAATTTTTTAATATAAAATAATTATAAAAATTAAATTAAATAACTTCTTGTAAAGTTAAAAATTAAAGCTATAATTTTAACAAATTCAGCATCAAATTAATCAATGCATACAATTTCAAAGTATAATATGTTTAGAAAACTTTAATTTAAAAGCACATTTAACATTTTTAAATTTTTATCCTAATATGAAAGTATATTTAAAGGTTTCGTTTATAATAAAGTCGAATAAACTTACATGTAAATAAATTTGCAGACTAATTTTTTCATATAAATCAGTAGGTTTAAATTTTTAAACAGATTAATAAATTATGATTTTAGATGATATAATAAAAATTAATAAAGTAATAATATATTGTGTATATTTATTTAAATAGAAATAAATTTCAATAATTTTTACATATGGTAAACCATTTTTAATTAAATAATCTTTAAAATTATTTAGTAAAAAAAGTTAAGTGCAATCAAGTTTGATATATATATATATATGACTTATTGCTGCCATTATTGTTTTTTAATTCTTTTCATTTTGAATGAAAAAAATCAGTAAAAATGGAATGAATAAAATGGGGCAAAATATCATACAAGATATTTAAATTAAAAAAATTTATATTGCATTGTGATTCAAAATGAAATATAGTTCAAAATTTTTATATTACTTAATAATTATTGTAATACATTAATCGGAATAATTTTTTTTATAATTTTATTTTAATTTATCAACTTTTAATATTTTTTTCTCACTTTAACTTAAAAATAGAAGAGTAAAGTGCAAGCAAATTTATTTATTTTTTTAAAAAGTTTTACGTGCAAAACTTCTTTAAAAACTTTTTAAACAATTTTAATAATTAACTGTAAAAAATATTAAAAAACGACTTATTTTCCTAAAGACTAGAATTTTTCCTTTATTAGATGAAAATTCAATCAAAGCCTAAATTTTATTAATACGGTGAATCTCTTTTCAATGCTTATTTGTATTTTTAATTGTTCTCAACAGTTAATTCTCATTCTCTCAACTTAACTTTTGCTGTAAGAATATATTTATTTCAACTTTTTGCACAAAGTTATTTTTAAGAATACAAACTTGAGAATATAATATTCTCATATTTTGTCATAAGTTCTTTTATTATTATTATTATTCCTAAGCACAGTTGATTCTACAAATATGATTTTCATATTCTTCTTGACTTCTATTATCATGTTGATTGAGTGAGAATATTTTATTTCCATAAAAAGTATTAGAAAGTATCGTACACTTGATCATTAACTTTAATTTCTACCTTTTGTCCTGATTATTTAGATTTTAAAAATCATGTTCAGGAATATTAATTTATTCAGGGTATCATTTCTGATAATAGTTTTATTGAAAATAGTATTTTAAAAAATAATTACAATAAAAGCCACCTAAAATCCAATAAAACTGGTAGTAACTCACTTCATTAAACAAGGAAAACTATCTTTCTGCATCGAGGATCTTTCAAATTTATTATTCTCCCATCTGCCACCTTTGTATGTGAAAAATCAAGAAGACAGGTTAGTATAAGAATATTAAAGTTTAAACTTGTGCAAGGAAAAATGCATTTTAATGAAATTAAAAAATATATTATATTTTATTTTTAATTGAAGATTACATTTTAATATTATATCATTTTGCAATATCTCATTATATTATTGTGAAATTAAGGAAATAATTAATATTGTTGCGTGATTCCTTATTTAATTTATAAAGCTTGGCTAAAACTAATAACAGGACTTCCTTTGTCAGAGATGGTGATTAGTGACTATAATACGCTTAGTAATATAAATATAAAATATGCTCTTAAAGTATAGTAATTATTAGTTACTGGATTTCCTTGCTTATATATGATTAATCGGATGTGTTAGTCCAAAGACATTGAAACAAACCTTGATAAGGTTGAGCTTCCTATAAATAATGTAATTAAACTAAAGTATGCTAGTTCAGTTTCTATAGAATCAAAAAAATTTAATATCATCAACTTGTTTTGTCATATGCCTTCTAAAAAACAAAATTTTCATCAAATTTTGTTTGCATTCGCATCAAGTGCAATTATTTGTTAAAATAATATTTTACTTATATTTTTTAGCACAATACTTTCCAATTACTTCACTTTAAAACATTTTTTGTTTAAAGTAATAAAAAAATCTATCAAATGATTTTAGTTTTAACTTACAAAAATATAATTATATTGTATTATTGTCTTTCTCATTGTTTTAATTTTAATAAAAACGAAGATGTGAAAAAAAATATAAAAACAAAGTTAGTAAATTAAATTAATATTACTAAAAAAATATTAATAACATGCTTGCTAACACATATTTTGTTGTTAGCTAAAATTTATTAAAGATTACAAAAAATTTGTGTTATACTTTTTTCATTCATAATTTATTTTTTTAATCAATAATTAAGAGTGTTTTAGAAAAGTGTGTTACTAACATTTTTCTATTACTAAATTTTATAAAATGATTAGATAAATTGATAATGATAAAAAATTTAAAAGCAAAAATATTTCATAAAGATTGAGGCATTAGCCTGAAGCAATTTTTATTTTTTGATATATATATATATATATAAAGAAATTAAGAGCTTGCTTCTGATGAAATTTAGTGATCGAATTGATAAATTTGCTCTCAAATGAACTTGTCCTTGGATTGGAGTAAGGTGAGAAAAAATGGCTTATGTGAATGCCAAGGGACAATTAGGCTTTTTATATTTTAGTTTTGTCAAGTTTCAGTAAATGAATCCAAGAGGTTCAATGAATAATATAATAAGAACAAAGGCTTGCTTTTGATTAACGCCAAGAGGCAACCCAAGACATACATTGATCATATGCTGACGGTTAACCTAATTTGATTCCTTCGCTATTATCGATTACTTTATCTGACATGACTACATTACATGCATTATTTATTTTCTTTTTCCTCTTTCTTTTCTTCTTTATTAAAAGGGATTAAAATTTTAATTCTATTATATCCTTTTGAATAGTTTAATAATCAATACTAGT